CGACCTAAGATTAGATATAATATATGTATAGTGATATATATATATATATATATATATATATATATATATATATACACACACACACACACACATATATATATATATATATATATATATATATATATATATATATATATATATATATATATATATTTTACATCATGCTCTGGCCCGATATATGTTTGTAGTTTATTACTTATTATATTTTCTTTTTTCTCCTCACTTTTCTTTTTACACATACATATATATATATATATATATATATATATATATATATATATATATATATATATAAACGCAAGGTTTATTTATATGTGTTTTTGTGTGTCACTAAGCTAAGACAGATGTTCTGAACAATATTCAAATCTTGATTTTTTGACTGATATTATGTTTTCCAAACTTCTTATGTAGTTTCACAATGTCCTTAGCAGGTTAGATAACATTGGTGGATATATATATATATATATATATATATATATATATATATATATATATATATATATGCGTGTGTGAGTGTTTTTGATATATTTGGTCCCCGTTTCAAATTCCAGCTCATTATTATTGATCCCAGCAATTAAACAGATAGATCTACTATTATGCGATCATCAATCGCAATAAATTAAGGCAGAATGCAAGACTAATTATATATATATATATATATATATATATCAGCACATCTTCATTCAAGCATGTACGGCTAAATAATCTAGACATATTATCTCTCTCTATTTTAATCCTCTTGAATTCTCCTTATCGACTTTTTAATGCTGATATTAAATTTATTAAGTGGGGTACCGTAGTTTTTTTAAAAATTTCTTTTATTTCCTTGTGAAAATTAAAGAATGAAAAAAAAAAAAAAAACTACGGTAACTTCACCTGATAAAACACCAGAAGTGTTGAAACAAAATGGCTATTTTTGTAGTGATTTTATAACATTTTTATGCTATAATTTTCGAATAAATGATTGTATATATATATATATATATATATATATATATATATATATATATACGCGTCAGCATCGTTATGAATACAATATGTGCGAAGCTTGTTCTATGTGTGGGTGTGTGTGAGTGTGGTTATTATTATTATTATTATTATTATTATTATTATTATTATTAACCCTTCCAATGCGTTGTGCTGAATCTCAAAGTTTAATAATAAAAAAGGTTTAGAATTAATTGGTCCCATTTATCTTTTATTAAACAAGGAAATCTTCTCAAGTCTGTTCTGCTATACGAAAATTAGTTTTATTAAAAAATAATACAGTCTTCGGAATGGTCCCAGAAAACCTTAGGAAGAGAATAAAATAATTTGAAATATAAGAACGTATTGAGACGCTTCACATGACAGAATTCGCAAAGTATGCCGAGGAAAGTTACGCAGTGTTCAGATTTGCTGTCAATTGATCCACAGTAATAGCTACTAGATGAAACGGCTAAAAGTTCATATACTACTATTACTACTACTATTGCTACTACCATTACTACTACTAATAATAAATGCCCTGATCTTACCTGATTGGGGGTGTTAACATATACATATTTTGTCTTACTGAATTAAGATGACCTACAGTATCCCGTACAATAGCACAGATTTGCTGATCAGTTTTTCCTGACCATAATTATTTGGGCATATCTCCTTAAGGGGACTGGCGTATAGTGCTACTCCGTTTCTGAACGGGACTTGTATAAGATGGCCCGTTGTCGATAGAATTCTTTGTCTATCTGTTTATTTGAAGTTTGAATGATGCAGTAGCGTAGGCGACCCAGGAGTCATATCTAGACACTTGGGGACGCTCTTACTCGAATAACGGTCTGAGCAGATTGGGTTACCGGACCTCAAGATATTTCTCCCATCCCACAGCTGTGCTGCTTTTATCAAAACCTGTCGCCATATCGCATACATTTGGCTGTGCCGCATGTGCATGGTGTACACAAACTGTGTTTTAAGATGAATATATTCGGTTTCTTATATTTGTACCACGGTGTCACTTTGTTGGCTTTTAATTCGATTTTTTAATATAGAGTATCCTTATTTGCAAATTTGTTCGATTGTATGCGCCAGTTGTTAGGCGTAATCTATCTTTTTTTTATTGCTACATATATATATATATATATATATATATATATATATATATATATATATATATATATATGTGTGTGTGTGTGTGTGTGTGTGTGTGTGTGTGTGTGTGTGTGTGTGCATGTATGATAGGATAAAGAACAAGTCGGAAACAGATTTCAATCTAACATGTTTCATTTTATTAAAGCTTGGTCAGATATCAAAATAAAAAATCTGACGAAGCTTTTAATAAGTTAAAAATGTTAGATTGGGATCTGTTTCGACTTGTTTTTTATCCTATCAATATTGTCGGGTTCCTGTCTATACTTGATCTATATTTGATCTTTTATTCATATATATATATATATATATATATATATATGTGTGTGTGTGTGTGTGTGTGTGTGTGTGTCTTCTTAATGATCTTATCTCATTTTTGGTTGTTAACATCCTGTTTTGGGTCTATTCTTCACTTCCTCAGACAAAGGTGATGATGTTGTGATATATATATATATATATATATATATATATATATGTAGCCAGGTAAGATGAGAAGGATAAACCCGCAGACCTTATAACCACCCCTTTTTTCTTTTTTGGTAAAAAGAATCTGTATTTCACTTTTAAATCGGAATGCATCGTTCACTCGCCAGTATTTTACAATCGCCTGATGAGATGCATTTGATACGATCGAAACGAGACGGCAATTGTGTAGCGATTTTGACATGTTTTTCGATGTAATATCCTAAAATAAAGTACATTATATATATATATATATATATATATATATATATATATATATATATATATATATGCACTGCGCATTAAATAATTTTAATGTTTATCAGTTAGTATCTCAGACTTCTTTAGTGAATAAGTCATTCAAAATTAAAATCTGGTATATATCTATCTTTCATATCGTTGTGATTTACTTAGTAGAGCTTAATTGTCGTACAAAGCCGCGGTACCCACCGGTGACGGAATTGACCACTCAGGCGCAATTCGATTTAGCGATGTAAGCTTGTTAACCATTACGCCACCTCGAAGCGCTCTATGAGGCGAGTTATTACTCCTCTAAACAGATGCCTATATTATTTACATATCAAACGATGGTTCAGCAAGGTTTACGAAACTGCATTAAAAAAAGCAAAAAAAAAAAAAAAAAGAAAGAAAAAAAGAAGCAACCTTATGAAATAAGCCGCAGAAAATGTCTCTTCATGAATGGAATTTTTATTATTTAAATATCGTAGATTGAAGTCTTGGAAGGAAAAAAAAAAATATTCGTTAAGTTCATGATAACAAATCTCACCAACCCCGCAGCATATGAGTAACTTACTACATGTCATAAGATAACAATACACACAGTATTCTTTTTTTACGAACAAAGGAATACATTATTTAAATACTATCGTGTATTTTCTGCATTTTTTTCGTTTATTCTTTATTGTCAGAACCGCTAAGTATAACTTTATTATTCCTTCATTGAACGTTCACATTAATAGTAGCCGGTGGGTTACAGTGGGAGAACAAGTGACAGCAAGACTCTCTATATTTTAGAACTCGTCACAGTATTCTTCTAATTGTTTTAGGTCAGATTGCTGTATGAATAGTTTTCGTTCTTTTTTTGGATTTTTCTTTCTGTTAGCTTTCTCCATAGTCTCAGCGGTACCATACCAACAACGATAGGTACAAATCATTATTATTATTATTATTATTATTATTATTTTGTATAATGTTATCTTAAATTTTTACTATTAGATAAAATCTTTTAGTGGACTTGAAAAACCTATTTTCCTGAAAATTTTGTTTAAGGAAAAAAAAAAATCTGTAAATTTCAACCGAAATTGACACTGATTTCTGGGTCAATAAATGCCGAACTTTTTCTTATATGGAACCGCATAGTACTACTATTAAATGTAATCATTAGTAATAGCACTTTTGTTTGCTTTCTACTGTAGAAGAAGGGACTGTAAATTTGCGATAAAAAATTAACTGAAATTAAGATGAAAGAAATATTGTTGGAAAAATAATATTTTGTACTCGTTAAATTTTGGCACCAGTTGTATTTAGTGGCTCTTCCAAGATACCAAATGACAGCGAATTTGCGTTGCTTTCTGTATTGATTTATTATTATAATTTTATGAAATAATTTTATTGCGTTAACATAATTTATGTATAAAATAGGAATCGCATTCTTATAGATAGAAATGCAGAGAAAAATATGATAAAAGCAACAACCAATAAAAAAAAATAAACAAATCAATAACGATTCAGTAACTGACCAAACAAAAATCGCTTTTTGATATATTATTTCCCTTACGTCATTCACCAATCTCAAATGTAGCAGACGACATAAAATGTAGCAGACGGCGACATAGCAAATAAATGAATTATTTTTACAAACTTACATTTCATTATTATTATTATTATTATTATTATTATTATTATTATTATTATTAAATTAATTAATTAATAATTTCCTTTTCTACTTCGTTAGGTATTTCGTTGTTAGTGCAGACCTGCTTTTTGGTGAAAGGCAAAATTGGATGAGATATTTTAAAATTAAACCAATTTCATAATCTTAATAAATATCATTAACATGAAAATGATAATTACCTTCGTATCATTGTTTAGCTCCAAGACTAATTTAGTCTGCCATTGTTTGAGATTCATTTTATGGGATGGATTGATTAATTTTTTATGGCTTATCAAACTTTTGCTGGTTATTTAAAGCCAGAAGATATTTTTTAGATTGAAATATTTTTTAGTGATAATAATGCTTTTTACTAATACAAATTCTACTAATTAACCCATAACTGGGTGGGTGAAGAAGTGGACATGCCATTCCCATGTAAGTAATCCGATTAGAATTGGAAGACTGTTCTTCGATTTCCAATTTTGAGCCGTTATCAAATACAGCAACTGCACATCCAAGCTTACAGATCCCGGTATTCCCAAGCGGCTACTCATCTAGGTAATGAGCAGGCTCGACGTTGCTTAACTTCGGTGATCGTACGAGAACCGCTGTTTTAACGTGATATGGCTGTAAGCTTCAGTTAAAGGATTGGTCACTTTCATGAAGTTACAAAGTTGTCTCTGGAATATATTTTATCCAACAGCATTTTTCTATAACTTCTTATCCAGAACCCAGCTATGGTTTAGATAGTATACTGGGCTATATAGCCTTGGTTGGCAGCCAGTCCAAGTGAATGAAAACCGTGGATAGGACAACGGGAAACCACTTCACTATCTTTCCCAAGAATGTATTGCAATTCATAGATTTTTTTTTTAATCAATTCACCCCAAATTCTAATGCTATCAGACTCAAGGCGCAGCTGGGAGTGAAAGAGAATGGAAAGATTTTAGAAGGAACCGGAAACCCAATCCTAAGCAAGGAACAAGAGATAAAACTATACTCCTGTTCAAAAGGCGGGGGAGGAGCGTGAACAAGACGATAGGTGAACCTATCGATTCCTATTGAGGAGAAAAAAATAGTAAAAAAATAAAAAATAAAAAAAAAATAGCATTCAGACAATAAAATAAATAAAAGTAATTTGTTGATATTTATGATGATCTACGCCCTGAAGGTACAGGGTATTTAAGAACGAAATTGTCCAGAAGTTTTTCTTGTCTAGAAGTGTTTTTGATTTCTACACTTCGTGAGTATTGTTTATTTTATAAGTATACGACTCAGTAACAGGCGGTACAATGTTTGTTTACTGCCGTTATTTTATTTTATTTTTTTGCTTTCTTTATTGTTTGTTACGAACTATAAGCTGTGATTGTTTTTCTATTTTTATTACAAGAATTTCTTACTAAATATTAAAATTAGGATTCTTTTTCTTTGGCGTGTACACGCAATTACAATTAGTTGCATTTAGCTTCAAAGAATTAAATGTTTCTAGTTTTGAATTGTTTTATGCGTATTTACTTGTCTCCCATAGAAAAAAGGGATTTTTGGTTTCTTTTTGTAAGTTTAAAAGTTGGACACGTATGTAGATTAAAGACAATAACTGCTTAACATTTCAGGCATCAGAGAATGAACCTGACCCTCTCTTTTTAAAATTCATTTGATGTGCTACTTGGAGGTATGTCTCCATTGGATCAGAGCATTTGATATTTTTATTTATTTATTTATTTTTATATTTTACCCTGATTGGGGTTCTGGTTGGGCCGAGTAAGTATTTGACTTTTTTTTGTGAGACGATAACAGCCTGATGGAATCTGTTCTGCTTACTCAGACAGCACTGTCTCAAATACCAAAAAAATGTGTCAGTTTGCGGTGGGACTGATTAAAATTTAAAAACAGACCTCTTCTATAGAAAATTATATTTATGTCCCAGGGAACATCAGGACTAAATTCTAAGGTGAAAAACGTTATTACTAATCTACTCTCGATTTAAATTTCTTCCCTTTTCATTCCTTTCCTGAATTAGGAACCTGGATCTTTTGCACCCGTCACTAATAATTAAGAGTGTAGACCTCTAAATATAGAACCTAAGTAACTGTTTACAGCTCTTAATAATGGAGTGACATTGCAAGGCAAACAAATTTCAACACTCAATTTTATGTAGTCATGATTTTGTTTTAATTCTTGTTTATTTTATAAAGGACAGTTTACTCATTTATGATTTTTCTCCTGCTATTTTTTTTATCTTTTGTATAAAAGCATTTGGTAGAAAAAGTACCCTGATTCATTAAATCAGTTAAAAATCTGAATATAGAATATGCTTTTTCTAGATTCCTTTAGAAGATATCTAGCTTATAGAACAATGTCCAACAGTTCGATCCTTACCGAATATTTATTTTTGACATTCTGCTTTTTGTGTGATTTGAAAATGGATTAAAGACAATCGCTGGAAAGTTGATTATTTCTCTCTGACGTTTTTACTGATAAAACCCTTGGCAATTTATCGACAAGAAATGAAGATTAACGAGCCTAGAAATAGTGAATTGGACTGCATTTGAAAGCTACTAAATTTTTAGTTGACTTTCTTCTCAGGAGTAGCTAAAGTCAAACCAACTTTTTTTTAAAAGTGACCTAAGTTGTCACAAATGACGACATTCTAAACCTAATAGCGTTGGTCTTTCAAGAGTAGTCCTATGCGACAACTCTGTCTGCTTGAAGGGAAATCAAAATATGAAAAGAATGCTTTTATTAACTGACTGATAAAGAAACAAACATATTGGCTTTGAAAATGTTCATTCATTTTGCATATTAATAATTTTAATAATAATAATTATTATCAGAATCAAGTAAAATATCTGCTTTTATTTAGTTAACGTAGTTCATCCAGGCTATCAAAATGGCGGCATATTTTATTAAGTCTTAAGTATTCTTGGGAAGTTTTCGCATGTCAGTCTTTAAATATATTTTTTAAATTATTGTATTAATATGTAGTGATAAAGGGAGATCGGTTTTATTAATACTAATAAATGAATAATAAAAATAATAATAATAATAATAATAAAACACTGGTATGAACATCGGCCATAATAAAGATGTCACCATTCTAACAGAAAAATGGGACATTATTGTCCCTACTAATTGATATGGCTTGTCCAGCGGATTGTAACATAGCAACCAAAGAATTTGAAAAACTATCCAAATTGGAAATGAAAACAAGAATAATACCAGTGGTAATAGGTGCACTTGAATTATAAAAATGGAACAAAACAACACATTGAAAGAATCCCTGAAACCCCAGCTTAAGAGACATACAGAAAATTGTCTTATTAAGTACAGCACACACACTAAGGAGAACTTTGTCTATGTAACGCTAGCAACTTCATCGGAGATAAAAAAAAAAAAAAAAAAAAAAACATGAAATGTGGCCCATAACAACACACCACGACCTGCCTTAGGTCTTTCCGCAGACTTGGTAGGTAGTGTGTCCATAGCAGAAATAATAATAATAATAATAATAATAATAATAATAATAAATGGATCCCAAGTTTATATCCATTTGAATCCTGCATTATTATTAGTTTATCTAGACGATAAAAAATGACGCCATGTTTTATTACATCTTCATTGTTATTAGATTTTCAGACGTAAATTATTATAGTTAACTTATATATGCGTCCATACATCGATATCGTTCGACTATTTTTTGGCTTTTCTGGAATTCATAGAAATGATTCTTTTTTTTTTGCATGATTCATTCAAACAGTTGGCTATTTTCATAACAAAGATTCTCCCTCTTAGTGTCGCCATTGCAAGGGAGATAAATAGAGTTATCTCCCTTGCAATAGCGATATTAAAAGATGATAAAACATGATAGGCAAAAAATACATAAATATGCTTGCTGTATTTCATTACAATTAATAATTTTTATTTTTTTAACGAAATATTCCATTCATGCATTTTTCTGAAAATTGCTTTTATATTTGTCGTTTTAAACCCAACATTTCTATCCGTACAAATTTTTATTCTCCCTAATTTGTGAGATATTTTGAGATATAGTGTTTTCATTATGCCATATTTTCTGTTTCTTTTCCGATTTGTCGATTTTATATTTATTATTCTTAACACGGCGTCTCGGCAGATAAGTTCTCCAACGTTTTTCATTTTTTTTCTTTTATTTTTCCTCGAAGAAAACAATTTTTTCAATCAGTTAGCTTCAAATGATTCTTTTGACATATATTCTTGGAATAAGATGCAAACGAGTTTAAAAAAGAATAAGAAAGAACGAAAACAGAAATGAAAATACTAGTAATTCTAAAGAAAGCTACACCTTTTGTTGTAGGCCGAAGAATATATCGGCTGAAACGTTATACTAAAGAAAAAAGAGAAAAAATAAGTGAAAGACAATAGCTCAAAGAATATATGGAACAAACAAAACTTCTTCATCATAGAACTTCTGAAGCATTAAAAATATCGAATTAAGACACTGGCTGCGTTAAAAAAATCTCCCAAGAAAAAAAAAATACAAAGATGAAGACAGTTGTCCGAAAGATATACAAAAAAATGAAGATACATTTTAAATATCTTTTTCTATATTGATTTAGCTTGTTTTGATTGGAAAACTTAGAATGCTTGCTATTGTAAAATCTATAAATATTAACAAATACAACATAGAACGTATTATTTTTACTTTCCTATAGTATAAAAGGACACACAGAATTGCATAGAGTTTTTATTCTGAAAATAACAGTTCCAATCATTTAAATTCGCTTTGTCTTTTATGCATAAAACCCTTAAAGTTTTCTCTGACGAAAAAAACCAAAAAAAAAAAACCAAAAAAAAAAAAAAAAATTCCAACTGGCGAAGTGCACGCATGCGCATACACACATACAAAATCGGGCGGATTAATTAAAATTTTGATATATGAATGTATTTTTTAAACAGTAATACAGCTCACGGCCTATATGCGTGACTCAACCAAAAAAATAAAATAAAATAAAAAATATTTGATTTATTTTTGGGGGTGGCCAATGTCCAATCTTCAGCTGTTATCATATTGCGAATCGGTTTTTCATTTTTCTTATATAAGCATTTTAGGCTCTTATTTTTTTTTGATAAAATGGAATCGATCAAAACTCTAAAGTTGCAGCAGAAATCAAGTATCGGCGCTTACGGGGTTGTTGTGAACCGGACTGCGACGGTGGGTGTAATCGTCGAAGAAAGTCATTTGGAAGTCCTTAGGAGTCACTTGAGTTCAATTCACAGAGATTTAACTTTTTGGAAACTTTACTTTTGCTGTTAATCTGAGCTTTGATGTATCTGATATATATATATATATATATATATATATATATATATATATATATATATATATATATATCGGGAATGATACTATAAGAGAGACATAGTATATAGAATATGGAATATATGGTATAATCATAAGATATTCTAAATACACACGAACCATTCGCAATATAATAACTTTAAAACTCCACACTTATAAAAATTAGTTGACTACAATATAGCATAGAATAGTCGATTCTATCATCGTGCTATAAAATACCTGTGACTTTTTAGGAGAGGCCAAATATATATATATATATATATATATATATATATATATATATATATATATATATAT